ATAATAATAATAATAATAATAATAATAATAATAATAATAATAATAATTTGGACATCTCAATGCTACTTTTGCATTTTCATCCTTATCTTTCTGTTTGTACTAGATATCCCCTAGTAACTAAAATGTAAACTTAGCCAATGCCTTATAGTCTAGAAAACTCCTTTTAGTTGACATTAATTTCTATGTCAGATTACATAAGGCTGAGAAAACATCAACATACATACATACACACACACACACACACACACACATATACAAACCACACAAATACACATAGCATGCAAGAACAGTTCATAGAGATCCCATTTCCTGCTACCTTGAAAGCCAGCAGCTAATTTAGTTTCAGACAAATTGTTACTGGTCTGACCTTTGTGACTGGAGATCAGCAATTTCCTCTTCCAGATCCAATAAAGTCTCTGCCTGGGTCATCACCTTCTTGCTGCATGGCAGGGATTTAAGCTGAAGGACCAGAAGTCCAAGGCAGAATTTGGCACCCATCTCCTCCAGTTCTGAAGTTCCCATCTGAAGACCCTAGAAGCAAAAGGAGAAGGAGACGAAGGGAGGGAAAGTAACATTAGAACCTAGAGGGAAATCCCATAATCAGCAGTAGCTTGGTTCATTTGTTTTACCTGCATTGCTCCAGAGAAAGCAAAAAGTCAAATGACTGTTCACAAAATTTTCCAAATGGATATGAAAGTGGATAAAACCAAAGAGCCTTTGGCAGGCTGTGGGCAGGAAAAACATGCAGGCAGTGATTTTTTGATACAAAGAGGGATGTCTTACAACAGGCAAGCTAGTGATCCTTCAGATTCCCAAATCTCAGCTACCTTGGTGTCCTTAGTAGACCCTTTTTTACTTTCTTGCTACAATGAACTAAGAGAAATCTTGCCCCAGGCAGACTTGAAGAAACATTGACATGAATTTCCTCAATCGTGATTTCTTTTTTCCAAACACAGAAGAAACTTAATGATCACTAAATGCTTCTCTTTCGCTTGTGTACATAGATCTGTGTCAGTTCCCTTCCTTCTACCTCTGAGTCCTCCTCTCAAGCCAGCCTGTCCCTGAAAACGTTGGCACAATGCCTGGCTTTTCATCCCTTATCAAAATTATTCATAAGTAAACTAAACTTTAGGTGCACTTCAATGCAACAAGGCTTCAATCAAAGTGCCTCTTTGAAGGAAACTACCTCGTCAAAGTAGCGCTCTTCTGAAGTGACAGATGAGAACAACCTACCCCGCTTTCATCCAGACACTTAAAAGGGGCTTCTGCATATATGGTGAAAATGAGACTTCATTCTGCCAGATGGGAATAGCCGTTGAATTATCCCACTGTGAATAAAAGGGTAGAATAGACTCTTTTTTTGAGCAAGATGGTTGGCAATGATTCTGATTCAGGCAATGCCTGAAGGGAGGGTAGTTGCTTCACGCAGATTTACTAAATGAACACTTGATCTTCTTGTTAATTTTATTTATTGGTTTGCATTCCTGCCTTTATTATTTTTTACAAATAACTCAAGGTAGCGAAAATATCCAACACACCTTCCTATTTTAACAACAACAACAACAACAAAACAACAACAATAACAAGTGGGTTGGGCTGAGAGAGAGTGACTGGCCCAAAGTCCCCCAGCTGTATCTCATGGCTAAGGTGGGACTTGAATTCATTATCTCTTGTGTTCTACTCTAGTTGTTTAACCACTAGACCAGGGGTGTAAAACTCAAGGCCTGGGGGCTGGATCCAGCCCACAGGGTGCTTAGATCTGGTCCTCGGGGCTGCCCTGGAAACAGTGAAGGACTAGCCTGCAGTGCCTCTGCCAGCTCCATTTTTGGTGGCAGTGGGTCAAAGGAGGCCATCCCAGCCACTCTACATTACAAAACTGAGCCTCATTTCACCTCCAAGGACTAAGCCAACCCACCTCAGTTTAGCTTCCAAATCCAGACAAACCCGGCTAGCTGCTGCTTAAGGATTTCCATATTTCCTCCACCCCTCCTAAATGTGGATAAGTGTGTTTTCCTGAGTACAATTTTGCTAAAGAGGCATAAACGTTGGAGGAGCAGAGTTAAAAGCAGCACAGATTTATAGATTCCAAAAGTCTGAGCCAGCTTCTGGGCTTGTTCTTTGCACTGTTCACGATAGCTCCAATTATTATGCTGTCCAACAGCTTGCTGCCTGAATTAGTAGGGAAAGGAGACTGTCAATTTATTTATACCCAGCCGCAGGGTATTGCCACTGTGTGTGTTTGTAAAGCTATTATGATGCAGAGAGCATTCTGTGAGCATACATGTGCAGACGAGCTGGTAACAAGGTAGATAATGCCAACTATTATCCCCAGAGAGAGCACCTGGGATATTCTATTGCTCAGTGGATTTAATTTTCTTTCCCTCATTTTGTCAATAAACACAAGGGCTTCAAAACCTGGTGGTGCTTATTATTTGTGTGGAGCTAATGCACCACCTCCCATCTGCATAGCCTCTCCATTTACAAACAAACCTTCATTGGCAACAGTTTGGCTAGCCAGGTTGATAACCAAAGGCCTATTCATGTCTTTCTCTGTACTTCTATGCATCCTCTGGAGGAAAGCTCATCTAATAATGAAAAGGAATAGCTTCTGAAGACAATGAAACCAGATATTAGACCTTCCAAGATAATCATTTGTGCAGTTCTTTGAGTTCTTTGTGTCACTTCTTTGAGAGATGGCTTTTCCTTGCCCTGCATCTCCTTCCATAGTTTTTCCTGACTGGCTTCCAAGATATTCTCTTCTTTCATCCATCCTCTTTCATCCATCACCATTTATTTTCATTTAGACTATGAAATACATGTCTATGGAGATTCTCAATCATCCAGGTCATGGTTGTCCCAAAGGTGCTTTTTTCAAGAGGTTAACTGGACTTTCTGGTTTTTCTTTGAAGATGTTTCATCCAATTGCCTCTTGAAAAAAGCATTTTTGGATCTACAAAAACACAGCCGTCAAATGTTTAATTGGCTTTTGGTTCAAGCTATTTAGGATATTGCTTTGCATCCACTGCTACTCTTTTGTCTCTCTGTTCAGAATTTAGACTCGATGTTCCTTGGGGCAAGGACACTGCATGCTGACATGCTGTTTGCACATTGGTGTTGCTAAATTCATAAAAGTAATATTCTTCTCCTTTTAACTTCCCTCTACTCCAGCAAAGGGAGGGAATCCAAAGAACAAACAGTCTGGTGATTTTGTTGAGTTAAAAACTAAAGTCCTGACTTGATTTGAAGTGAATTCAAGTGTGCTAAAAGTAATCCTCCAGCTATGTTTTTTTTCCCAGCTCTTATACCTGAGCTGTCAGGTTTACTAAAGCAACAGATAGGACTCTGAGCAGGTTAAACAAAGTGAAAGCAATTACAGTGGGGTGTTTCCCAAGGCTGTTACTTTGATTTTTTTTTTTCATCATTATGATGTTCCTGTCCATAAAGTTGGCTTCCTTAAAAAAATCTTCACACATTCATAGAATGCTCAAAGGAATCATGAAGCTACCGAAAAGTTTTTGTATGGTTGCTTCCTTATGCCTTGGAGATCAATTGGTACTTTTTTCTGATTGAGAAGTTGCTGTGGCAAAGAAAATCAAATTCTGGGATGGCTCTTGTTGGTAACTTCTAGGGATTTCTAGAATCATCTAGCCAGTACTATAAACCTCTTATCACTACTGTTGTACTACCATAGCACAACAATAGTTGGATGTCTAAAGAAAGCAGAAGTTGTTTACATATAATGTCCAGAATAGGACCTCATCTAACTTTTGAGTTTGGGAGTAAAGATTAAAATAAAAATTGGGCTAAGAGTGAGTTACATCTGGAGATTGGATTTCTACAGGAGGTGTGAAACTTTTCTCCACAGAACTATCTCCTTGGCTAAATATCTACGGAAAATCTATGGTTGTCCCAAAGGTACTTTTCCAAAAGGCAACCGGACTTTCTTGGGTTTTTTTTTCCTTGAAAATGTTTCACCTCATTCAATTTGGTTTAGAACTGAAGAAGCTTCTTGGATGAGAAGCAAAATGTTTTCAAGGAAAAAACCAAGAAAGTTCAGTTGCCTTTTGGAAAGGCACTTTTGGGATATCTCCATGGCTCTTCCTTTAAGACATAGATCAATTTTTAATAAGAGCTAATATAGTGAAGTGGTTGAGATGAGTTTGAAAAATGCTAAGTTCATGTCTGTCCTTGGCCACAGAACCATTGATAACTTTGGATCAGTCATCCCTTAGATAATTGATCTGTACAAGATCCCTTTAAGAGAAAATCCCCCTATGACACCTATTTTGAGTTCTCACAGAAATTATGGACCCTAAATATGAATTTGTTGGCATTGACTATACAGCACTTCATGAGCAATTGACCACAAAGGAGCAGTCCATAATTAGAATAGAATAGAGTAGAGTAGAGTAGAGTAGAGTAGAGTAAAGTAGAGTACAATACAATACAATACAGTACAGTACAGTACAGTACAGTACAGTACAGTACAGTACAGTACAATACAATACAATACAATACAATACAATACAATACAATACAATACAATACAATACTTTATTGGCCAAGTGTGATTGGACACACAAGGAATTTGTCTTGGTGTAAATACTCTCAGTATACATAAAGAAAAGGTACATTTGTTAAGAATCAAGAATCATAACGTACAACACTTAACGATAGTCATAGGGTACAATAAACAATCAAATCATACTAGGAAACAGTCAATATAAATCGTGCGGATACAAGCGACAAAGTTACACTCATACAGTCACAAGTGGGAGGGGATGGGTGATAAGGAGTGATGAGAAGATTAACAGTAATAGTAGTGTCCACTTTGTAAATAGGTGAACAGTGTTGAGGGAATTATTTGTTTAGCAGGGTGATGGCTTTCGGGGGAAAACTGTTCTTGTGTCTAGTTGTTCTGGTGTGCAGTGCTCTATAGCATCGTTTTGAGGGAAGGAGTTGAAACAGTTTATGTCCGGGATGTGTGGGGTCTGTAAATATTTTCACAGCCCTCTTTTTGACTCATGCAGTATACAGGTCCTCAACTGAAGGCAGGTGGGTAGTAATTGTTATTTCTGCAGTCCTAATTATCCTCTGAAGTCTGTGCCTGTCCTGTTGGGTTGCAGAACCAAACCAGACAGTTATAGAGGTGCAGATGATAGACTCAATATTTCCTCTGTAGAACTGTATCAGCAGCTCCTTGGGCAGTTTGAGCTTTCTGACTTGGCATAGAAAGAACATTCTTTGTTGTGCTTTTTTGATGATGTTTTTGATGTTAAGTGTCCATTTTAGGTCATGTGATATAGTAGAACCTAGAAATTTGAAGGTCTCTACTGTTGATACTGTGTTGTCTAGTATTGTAAGAGGTGGTAGTATGGGAGGGTTTCTTCTAAAGTCTACCACCATTTCTACGGTTTTGAGTGTGTTCAGTTCCAGATTGTTCCGGTTACACCACAAGGCAAGTTGTATAACCTCCTGTCTGTATGCAGATTCATTGTTGTCTCGAATGAGACCAATCACTGTTGTGTTAT